GCGAGTTTATTTTGCACCTGGTTAAGCCGATGCATCTCTCGGTATTTTCTTAACGTGTTTACCGTGCCGGTTTTAAATACGAACACGGATCGATCCGCGTTGTACAGCGCGGAGATGAACGCGTTAAATATAGGATAAGCTATGGCCTCCATTAATAGCTGGTCCGTTCGCAGCAGCCTCTTTTCTGCACGACACGGGAAGAGAGTGTCGCGCGATCCTGAGAAACTGTGAATGGAGCCTGAATATTCCAGGCGATTTTCTTAGCCACTAGATTATTTAGCATCCGGACGTGACCCGTGGCCAGGCTTTTAAACTGGACAAAAGGGATTCGGACTTCTTACTGGGAAGATTTAAAGCCGCTGTAAAACATTGGAATAAGTCGTCCGACCGGGATATGACTGCGAGGTGAAACTCGGTCCCTCTGACCGAGTTTTTCCCTTTCTTCCGGAAACCGTGTCGAAAAGACGAGATTCCCTGCAGGATCCAAGGACACTAAGCTTACATCGCTGACACAGTGACCCGTTCTGTGGCTCGTTCCTTTTTCGAACCGTCGTTCCACGGTAGCCGAGATTTACTGCCACCATAAATTACCCGGAGAATCCCCGTGCGCCTTTAACGAGCGGACGTCTCAATAAGCAGCTGATTTTTTCCTAGTAGTACAAGGCTAATCAGATTAGACCGTAACAATGAAAAACCCTTAGGAAAGTTGCGAGTGTTCGACTCTTGGGAGATTTTCTCATCCCTCAGGGACATCTTCAGTCACGATCGACACACTGACTCAGTTTTGCAGCAAGTACATCCCCATTCAGAAATCTTAGGGCACGCTACAAAAAATATAAGAGATAGAGACATCCCAAGGATGTGAATGAATAAATGGAAATTTGTAATATTTTAATGGAAATATTTATTTCATCAAATTGTTTATAAATTATTACATTTTTAATAGACTACACTTGCAAGTGTTTTAAAACTTATGAACGGAAGTAGTACAGTTCCTGGCGGCGATAAGCGATGCCAGTGAAGATTTACGATCGTCATAAAGTATTAAGAACGGTCGGTTAAGTACTAGGCAAGCCAATTTCAGTTGCACCGGACCAAGATTTCTATTCTTTAACAGAGACGCAAAAACTGATTTTGCCGAAAACTTTCGCTGTACCCGTCAGCGTGAAACTTTTCTCAACCCCGTCTGATATTCTCGCGTGATACCGTACTGGATGTATATACGCGGCGTCGTTCCTCGTTTCATAAATAAAAATGAGCTTAGAGTACGACCAGGTCCCGCGTATTTGTCGTTGCCTAGCGGAAAGACAGACGGAAGCGAGGAACATCGAATGCATAAAGGTTGCCAAAAGTAGCTACGTCGAGTTATTCGTATTTGAAATTTTTTCATAGCTTTCTTTATCAGTTATTCGTACGGATCCCTGAATCTTACATACACGAATAAAAATGGTAATACCCAAGCTTAATGTCCGGCGAGCTCAGGAGACGTATAATTACCGCGGAGATTCAAATGGAAACGTACTCGCACGCAAAGTAATTAATGTGAAAAACTGTTCGTCTCCGTTCTTCTTCTCCGCGCAATTTACCGTCTCTATTCCTAACTAAGCATTCCCATTCAGCCGGCGAGTCCTGTTGCCATTCATCTCCCTAAATACTTAAAAACCCACCGGCTGCCATCTAATTTCCTCCCGTCATTACTCCGCGAGCCGCCAGCCGACATCAATTATCGCGGCGGTAACAGCCTCGAACGGGTTCACTTCGTTTACACCGGGTCGCGAAGAACAACCGTGAGCGAGTTCCCGTCACGATGATTTTTTCCCGTTAACGAAGCTGTCTTGCGGCCACTACCCACGGACTGCGAAACGGCCGGGACATTAGCGGCGGTACGCTTCTCCTCGCTTCTGGCGTGCGACAGCGCAATTACAATAAACTGGCTGAGGGCCTCGCTACCGGAACGTCGTCGTAGCGAACGTCTGCTCGTAGCCAACCGCTGGGCCGTCTTCCGTTCTTCCGTTCTCAAACGTGGAAATCAACGCGCGAATGTGCCTAAGCATTCACGCCAGGAGCGCGCGCGCGCTCCCCCGCTCGAGGCTTAAATTAAATCCGGCTAATGTAACCGTCGGCTGGGTATATTAGATCTCTCGTCTGCGACCGCGTGTCCTTTCTCCTCCCGCGTTTCGCGTGCCGGGATTGGCTGGGCTGGGGACGGCGGCGCCGGAGACAGAGGAATTGAAGGACCGCAGAGGGAATCTCTGATCCTCTTCTCCACTGGTCGGTGGTTACACGAGGGGCCTCGGTTAACCTGTATCAGTGGATGGAATCCTTAATGAGGAACTTTCTGTTTTTCCCGGACGGGGAGATCGCGCGATCATCGCCGAAGATGCCTCTGACGCGATTAACGGGAAGGGGGTTCAAAAGGGTTACCACGGCCTTTCCTACGGGGCATTTGTCTGCTGTTTCTCCCCGGTTAATTTCAGCTTTGTAGCTTTGTTACGATCGCGCCTCGCGGAACGGCTCGTAGCGTTGTGTACACGGGGTGAAAGGTTGGAAGAGAGCGAAGTGAACGAAACAGAGACGAGGAGAGATCAAAGGGAATCAGGCGAAGGCGGCGACGTTGTCTCCAGGCATCGGATGCCTCGTGATCGAATCGCTAATTACCGGATTCTCTCTCTCTCTTTCTCTTGGTCTCTCTTCAACTCTTTGAGCCCCAGGTCGCTGCGTTAATACATTCGGATCGAGTAAATCCACTTTAAGGCTCGTCGCGCAGCGTGGCAACCGGAACTTCGTCGGGCCAAGTTGTCTGAAACGATTAATCGTGTTTGTTTCGTGATCGACGCCCGCTGATCGGTTCCCAAGTTCCACTGCTCTCCACTTGATTTCAGTGAAACCTACCGCAAAATCTGTTTTAATTCTCTCATCACGTTTATTATAAAACCTTCCAATTTCAGGATTCTTTCTAATAATAAATTACACTAAGTCACGTATTAAAAATTGTTAAACGACACCTGAAAGAAATAATAAAGAATTCTTATATATAAAAATACTTAATGGATCGCTCGGTACGTCGGATGAAATTAATTGTCAACCGAGAATTACGAACCGCCAGAAAAAGACCTGTCCGTGACGACAAGCCGTAAAACAACTTTGGCGCGGCTTGCTATCGATTCTTAATAGTTGTCGGGTTTGTTATACTCTTTCGCCGGCGGAAGGGGATTCCACGGTGTACTCTGGGGCGCCATAAACATTAATTCGAATCTGGACGGTTCGCGTTGCCCCCATCCTCCGCCCGATCGAACGAGCCGAAGCCCGAAACTGACAAGACACAATATCTCACAATTCTCGCGATTTTATGGGCCTTTAGGGCTGCGATAACGATAAATCCTCGTGAACGATGACGCCTCGAGAATTGATCAGCCGGGGATTAAGAATTCCGGCTACGAATCGGCTGACTAATGTCGCCTCGTCGCTTTCCGTTTGCCTGCATTATTCATGATTTACATTCACTCATCCAGATTAGCTCTCGCTCGGTCTGCCATCCGCCGATATCCTATCACTTAGAAAAACAACAAATTGATACCATGGAGGAAAAACGCGGAATAAGCACGTACGATAGTACAAAAACACTAATCGCATCCGCTGACGGATTGTGGTTGTATTATTAAAATAGGTTCCAGGAATTGATGTGATCAGCCTGTACGATACTTATATTAATTTTATTATTATATAAAGAGAAAATGTTTGATTGTATATGAGCAAAAATCTCAAGAACGACTTAAGGTGTTTCTGTTATAATGCAAGGCACTTCAAATCCTAATCAAATTGTAATATATTATTCTTAATATTTTAATGAACATATCGCTATAGTTAAATATCCAGATTATCAAACGAATTTCTAAAATACTGAAACTTCAGTAGTTATTCTTTTACATTGAAGTATATGGAAATCATGCACTCAAACTTGTAAGATTTTGGAAATTTTTTGTTACACATTCACTTCACTTTAAAATTTCACTAGATTCATCTTAAGAATTTACAACGAAATGAACATTAGTATTTTATTGTATGTATGCACTCCGAAGTGTCATATTTGTAAAGCAAGCAACATTACTATGAATAATTACTGGTTGGAAAAAGGGTGGAAATAGAGATTTTTACTCCAAAATATTCTCCTTCTCAAACAACTTAAAAATCAATTTCAGGATTTTACTAAAGAATTGAGAAGGTGTAAAATGTATATTTACATAATCTTCAATATCTTTCAAGCACCATCACTTAGCGACTGTTCATCAAATATTTCTACTTCATAAATTTTGATTTCTGTATACGATAATTAGTGCGGCTGAAGCTGGGACGGGATGTTGATTAGTCATAAATAGGTCTAGGAAACTAATAGGTCACATGCGTACAGAGGCAACATATCGCGAAACTCGCGATTCGAAATTCAATCGAGGAAGCACGTTCGTCGGCCGTGACACGGCCGACCAGGCCCGCTTAATTTCAATGGCTCGGAACTGGCCGCAAATCGATCCGTCAACCAGGATACCAGTTCGATCGTCGAAACATACACGGTGAGACCGATCGCGGTATAAAGCCTGAACGAAGGTACACAGGCGACGTAAGTCCGGTCGCTTAATTAAGCGTGCGCGCGTGTGCCACCTTCTCCTCCCCCCACCGGCCGACACCCACGATACCACCCATCCACCCTCGGAGTTTGAGCGCGGGGTGGAAAAAAGATCAATAAAACCCCTAGTCTACGGGCGACCGCATTCATCGGCCACCCCGTTTCTACAACATATTTTGCAACCTCACCCCAAGCCGGCCTTGCCACCGACCAGACCCCACTACGCGCGAGCCACCCTCTTTAGCTGTCCCACGTGCTTGTTTCACCCCCACCGTCCGCTTCGTAAGGGAGGTGGAGACCCGTAGCCGGGAACGAGTTTCGTCGACCGCCAGTAGGTGGCGATATGGAACGCGAGGAAGAGAGACGCGACGAGATTGAACATTGAACGCGAGGACGGAGCCGCGGAGCGAGCGAGAACGACGAATGGTTGTTCGCCCCCTCGCCTCGCAGCCCTCCGCTCGGCTACGTCGAGCAACTGGAGGCTCTCGTCAGCCTGTCAGTTAGTGCCGTGGCGCCGTGACGGTACGGTTGTTGGTTGGTATTACGTCGTTTTGCGTTCGGTTTAGCGGCTCGCGAAACGTGTTCAATGGGGACCTCGCCACCGACCCATCGCCGCGACAGACACGAGATAATCAGTGATCGAGTTCCTTGGTGACTGGAAAATCGAAAGGAAACATCGCGTGTGCCACGTTGGATTTTTTTTACCCCCTTTATCCTTATTATTTTTTTTTTTTGTATACACTTTTGTTCTTATTGCGTGACTAGTTTCGGGACGGTCAGTGGGTTGATTCGTGCAAAGGTGCTGCGAGCGAGCAAGTGACGCGGGAGCGTTTGAAAAGGCGGGAAGAGGAAGTCCGGCTGTGATTTACATGATTTCTTACGTGCTGTTTGGTGTGTGCGCGTTCTATGCCTGATCCGACCTGTGTGCTCTTAGCGGTATTTTAGATAAGGTGAGCGATTTGCTGTTTTATTCATTGCGAGAGAAGCGCGGCCGCGGTGATTCCAATTCGGGCCACGTGAACGCGCGCCCATGCGACGAAAATTCAATCATGTCACTTCGTTTCTATTACACCCCGTGACATCGTTTGGGAATTATCTCTTGAAATAACAGAAGTTTTGTCGTGTATCTATGACGTACGGTCAGAAGAAAATCGCGTATTATCCTGGCCGGTGCTTCGGTTTCAAAAAGAATCTTAACAGCACCCGAACAAGGGTAATCGTCGGGGGATGAGTGTATAATCTCGATCGTCGAGTGTATCATCGATCGAGTGAGTTTCGCGTCCGCCGGGGCCGAGCCACCCTTAATCCGACTTATTGTTAGAAAGCCGACGGCCGCCGGCTGAAATCTGATTTGGTGTTTCATTCAACGTCGCTCGGGCCTGGTTCGAATGACGTTTTCACGGTTTTCGGTCGAACGAAGCAAGATAACATCGATTAATTCTGCCTAAGCCCGGCGGTCGTTCTCTCCCGGTACGGAAACGGCGTCGCGAGTAGAATCAAAGAGAGTAGGTGGATTAGCGAGAAGAGACCCTCGACGAAGGAGGGAACGCGACAAATGAAATTTCGTCGTGGCAAATTGTCCGAGAACGACGCCGCAGAAATCAGCCCGGCGATTAACACGGAGGGATCTCTCTTAAGACTTGCTAATTTCCTGCCCTCGAGGAACTGCTCCGAAGGGGGAAAGGTAATATCGAGAACTGGGAGAGATCATCCATTAGCGGACTGATCTATTTGCTGGCGCCTCTGTAAATCTACCGAATCGGGACGCGAGCTGGTTACAAGACGACGCTTTCTTTCTCGGGGATCCTCCTCACGTACTGGGGTAGCGAAATGACGCAACAGGCAATGATAGGCGAAAGAGAAAGGGGCACGAACGGGGGAATTGGAGATGGTCCAAGGGAACGTCGAATTCGCGGGAACACGCGTCTACCGATTCGATTGAACGATCGCTTCTCTAGTGTTTCCTCAGGGATAGAATTCACAGTAGGATGGATATGATCCGGCTACGGATTTTATGCACTTGTCAGATAGGTAATTTATAACAAATTTCCCACAAATTAACCAAATTTAATACTTCGTGTATCGTGACTGTTCATCTTGATGTTAGATGTCTATTGCTTGATAAAAAATAAAACTCATATGATATAAAATGCGTGTAAATTTCACGTTAAAATATTTGTGTCCATTGTCTGATAAATTAATTTCTATATATTATGACGATCATGAAAATCTGGATAAAATATACTTTTAAAATTGATTCCATTAATGTTTCAGATTGCATAAAAATCCGCAGTTTAATAATAATGCCTCGCGTTTTACGAAACGAAATATTGGCTCGCGTTCGATTATTATTGAAATCGAATTTGAATCTGGTTTAAACGAGGAGAAGCGACCGTAAAGTTTTACGATGAGAAACCGTGAAACGTTCGTTCTCGTGACGGGACGCGAGCGTCGGGTAGCTGGTCACATCCGATTTCAGTGGATTTTAAGCGCAGCCAGGAAAGTAGGTTTTGAATATTGATGAACCCCGGTATGAATATATTCATAAGACTAACAGTTTATTTCTGCAGTCGAGTCGATTCGCTTCCCATTGATCAATCGACTGATTCGTGGAACCCCTCTTGTGTAAATTCGAACGATTAATATTCCTAAATGTGTACCTGTTACAGGTACGCAGAGATTTCTCTGTTGAATCGATTGGCTAAACTTTATTGGTTCATCCATTATTTTCATGGAATACAATCCAATATCGTTCCCACTAAGTGGCAATACAAATGTTTGATATTTTTCACACCAACTCTTCACGTCTTCATTAATGAAATCATTGAAGTTCGATGACTGTTATTTTATTATTGAATATAATTCAGTATTTTCATACGAAGACCGAAGGGTATTACAAACATTCGACATTTTTTATTCCAACTCGCAACGTCTTCATTAATAGTCTCCCAAGTTTCACAAGAACTCTTTGTTTGACGACAGATGAATCGGCCGCCTGTTACGAGGGGCAGACGGTCAAAGTCGTGGCACGCGTCGCATTTATCTGTTTAACAGAGCCCATGACGAGCGTGTCCGGAGCGGAAAGAATGATGAAACACGGTAATTGAACGCGACTCTTGGTAGAAGATTCTGAAATGAACTCGGCGAATCGTCGCGTTCCATTCAGCGGTGCTCTCGTTGCCAAAATAATCCGAATGCTAATTATTCATTTGCATAATTAACGCGTGCGCGATAAACCAACCCGCGGTGCACCGTGAGCGGTCCCACATGCCGTCGAAGATTAACGGTAGCCCTAGACCCCCTGTTAATGCCCGTTTTGAATATTAACTCCTTGGAAATGAGCGAATCCGCGCGGTCGCTTATGAATTTTCAACGATTTCAAAAGTTGTCCAACGTTACCGATGTAAATTGAGTTCGGGGCGCGCACAGAACCGTCCCGTTTACGTTGAGCTATCGATCGCGATTCAAACACGGGATTATTTCTGGAACCGTTTTTCAACGTCGCCCCGAAGAGCGCAATTTAACTCTTTGCGCCAGCCACTCCTTTGTCTTCGGCTCCAATTAAGATTCTAGAAAGCTTCGCGTGGCGGAGGTCGTTTAAATTCCCATTTTTCCGCTACCCTTTAAGGGCGAGGAGCCGTGGCTGCAGCGTCGTTACGGGATCGATTCGTTCGGTGAGAACCGAGCCGTCACTTTCGCTCGCCGAGCGTAAATTGACTCCGCCGCGTTTACGGTCAATTTCCGAAAAATCTCGCGTTTCCCCACGCCAGAATGCCGACGCCGGTTACCACCCTCGAGACGCCACAGTCTGGACGCCGTAACTTCTTTCGGCTACATTTCCTTCCTCGACGCTCGAAATGACAACCGGGCCAACAATTGGCCGCGTAAATCTCCCGCGTCTGCTAAGAAACCGGGACGGAATCCCCGCCACAGTTTCTCTTACGTGTTCTATTCGTTTCCAAAAGATATGTGTGTCATCCGGACGATTTATTCCCCCTCTTAGATGTAGTTTGCCTAATTTTATGCTACTACTGTCACATTTCATTCGTGGCACTAGTTGTTCGTCAACATTCAGTAGACTTAATAAATTGGACTGGCTTAAATTATTTCACACTACAATTCTGTTTTGTCTTAAATAATTCTATTCCAATGTATTAATTAAACAGGAGTTCCTCTAGTGTCACATGGTTCAGATTTAGTGATCACAGATATAATGATTCAGACATTCTTAAATGTTGGCACAAACCTTCTGTGTCGACGTTTGGCAGTTTGAACATTGAATCCAATCTTCGTTGTTTCCCAAACACTACGCAGAATTTCTGGTTTATATCTCTTGGTTTCAGTCTTTTGGTCTTCTTAAACTTATTTCCTAAGTTTTTCTTTTGCTCTTTAATTCTTTCTCTTTAGTTAATAACTTATGAGGAGATGAAGAGAGAGTTTCACTTTTTTTAATATAACCACAAGGTATTTTGTTCTCTATCGTATAAAATGCTTATTGCAATACCACATCTCGAAGACTCATCTCTTCAGTCAATTCTTTTTGCCAGAATTGTTTGAAGAGCACTTTTCAAATTATTTTCATCCTATGAAACTTTCCTCTTATTATTCGTGTTGTTAGATGTAACTTGTAACAACTAAAATCGAAATAAATAGTAGTTCATGTTTTATTCTAGCCTTATCGGCCCAAGAATAAGATTTGAATTACAGTTCGAAAAACTTACTCACTCATTCCTCCATACCCTCGCACACCAATTAAACTTTTGACATTTCATACTTTATTACCTATCAACTTTACATTTCTTTACAATCTTCACTTATTTCTATGGAACTATAACTAAATTAAAGTAATCTATCTTATAATAAACGTAAGACATAGATAATTTAAAAGACAATTTATGTCTTTTGGCCAAGATAATTATAATCTTTTATGATTTATACTACGCACTACATTCTCGTGAAGCGATGACAACGAATCGACCTCTTTAATTGTACACACGTGACTGAAAGGTGTCGAAATCCGACCGTTCTTCCTATCTCTCCCCACCCCCCGCTTACGTGAGATAACGGCTCGTGCCGACCGGCGTTACCAGAACTCCCCTAATTGCTTACTGTGCCACGTACTTTAAACTACGGAATAAAATAAAATATTACAAACGCGAAGAGCATTTGCGGAGTTTTTCCCAACGTAAAAGCGGAAACTCGAGGGTTGAACGGGCGTTCACCGCGGGGTGCAACGCGCGCGTCGATGCGAGGCGTAAATCGTTCACGGTCAATTTCCGAGTGGGTCCACGGGCGCGTGGTCGTTGAGAAACGAAAACGAAGCAGCGGGCGTCCCGTAGTCACGATGACGGCCCCGCGTCGACGGGGATACATCAGCCAGTTGTGGACGAATTCAAAGGCGGTCGGGGGTCCGTGCACCTGATTGCTGAACATCCATCCGACCCCGACAGAAGGTGCGTAGTGTTTCGCGTACACGCAGCAGTAATATAATGGCTTTCGAATTGCGACTGATTCGCGAACGAGCAATGGGACGGAGGATCAGCAACGTGGAGAAAGTAGTGGTGCGCGTCAGTGGAATTGGAAATTGATGAGAGAGGCTCGGTTCCCGCGGTCTTAAATTGTTTCCACGTTGATTGGAAATCTCGTGTGTTTTCTAAAAGACATTCGAATTGAAATTAAAATTGATTTTACGAAGATGAAAATCTGCACGAGGAGCCGATCATTTTTCAAAGGAAAGAAAATTCAGTTTTTGTTGTTTTTAACACTTCCAACATTATACAAATGTGTTCTTAAGTGAAATAAATATCGTGTGCAAGGTGAATTAAGCCCAAAGATCAGGTAGTAATTTAATTTACGAAAATATTGAACGAAGAGCGAGAGAGAACGGCGGTGAATTATGCTGAACATAATGCCGGCTCCTGAGGGATGCACCTGACGTGGGGAAGAGCGC